AAAACTCCCATGAGCAACAGAAAATACTGGAAGGCTTTGGTGGGCATTGACCTTGAGTTTTGGAATTGTAGTTCACCTACATCCAGAGAGCACTGTGGACTCAAAGAACGAATACTCAGTATGCCCGGACGTGAACACTGGTGGGGTTTGGGGTAATAGACCTTGACATTTGTGAGTTATATTTGCTGAGATTTATAGTTCACCTACCATCAGAGAGCATTCTGAACCTCACCAACAATAAAATTGGGCCACATAGAACCCCCATGACCTACAGAAAATACTGTGTTTTCTGATAGTCTTTAGCGACCCCTCTAACACCCCCTTGCGACCTGTCCAGGGGTCCCGACCCCCAGGTTAAGAAACACTGACATAGAGCATGTAATTCTCATTCCTTGAATCCAATCCTAGAATCTTACCTTTCCTTGAGAGTAAGCCATCTTAAACACTTTTAAGTAAAATGCATGAGGATCTACTGTAAGTACTTTATAAAATAGCATTAATTGTAGAAAAAGAGGATCAGATAGTTAAGTAGCAGGGATATGTTTATATAAGTAAGTGTAAAAACCATGAAGGTCAAAGATGGGCTTTGTAGAAGTGAGTTTTAAGAGAGAGATAGAATTGACGGGATATGAGAGATTCAATCCTTTCCTCCCACAAGACGGAATATAGCTGCAAAAGATCAAATGAAAAATTAATCAAAAGTACTAAAGAGTGACTGAACTATGATTGATAGAAGGGTGTTTTTAAGCAATTGAGGCTTGGATCTTTATGCAGATACAACTCCACCAACCCACACAAGTGTTCCTTGCTGCTAACATACTAGAGATACGTAATTAGTTGATTACATGTTGTTAGGAATTTGTTGGAATTTACATTATTGGCAGAATTTGCCTTTCAAGAGTCCTTAATGGAGGGGAGGGGGGAGTGTGGGGTATTAACCACACCAGTTGACACCCCCCTGAGCAGGTGAAATTAAAATGACTCGTCTACGAAATATTTGTGCAGTGTTTTAGCAGTTTATTTCAAAAAATCCCAGTAGTTAGATATAATCACAAAACCATTTTGTCAGTCCAGCAGCATGTCCCTATAAGGTTAAAACTCTGCTAATTTACTGGATTGTTGTAGGCTTTTTCGGGCTATATGGCCATGTTCTAGAGGCATTCTCTCCTGACGTTTCGCCTGCATCTATGGCAAGCGTCCTCAGAGGTAATGAAGTCAGACCTCACTACCTCTCAGGGTGCTTGCCATAGATGCAGGCGAAACGTCAAGAGAGAATGCCTCTAGAACATGGTCATATAGCCCGAAAAAAACCTACAACAACCCAGTGATTCCGTCCATGAAAGCCTTCAACAATACTCTGCTAATTTAGTTTTTGAGCTTTGTAATAAAGTCATTACCCCGTTAAAATGATGCTTCAATTCACATGATTTAATCTGCATGCTCTACTAGCACATTCTGTTGTTTTTGTTTTTGTTAAGTGTTTTTTTTTAAAAAAAATCAAATTTCCTAGTTTTTTTAGTTAAAATATTGTGGTATGGTTTGGTACAGAAAGGGGTCCATGGAGATGAAATCATGAGTCACTGCACTGGATGATCTCAATCCTAGTGACACTATTGCCCTTTACTATTATATTTCTCCTTTTAAAATATTTGATAGCACTATGTAACAAAATTTGGGAGAAAAAGCTCTTTCTGGATTGAAAGCATTATTCCTGTTTAACTGTGTGGTACTTACTTTGAAGGTAGTTGTTATACTCCATATACTTTGTTTTGTGGCTGTCACAAACTGTTGAATTGGTTGAGACTTGATGAGATATTTATTGAAAAACTATAGCAAAATGTGCTGCAGGGTGTCCTGCAAAAACAAAGTTTTAGCAGTTTAATAAACGTTTTCCATGTTTTTATGATAGAAGCAATTAGGAAATGGCATTTACAGTATAAACCAGGAACAAAAACGAGTTACCTAGTATAATTTTCTTCTAGGTTTTTTTCTAGTTCTCAAGTCTAGCTTGGAAGTCTCCAGGAATATCACTTTTTCCCTTTATTCTAATTTTTACCCAAACCCCCCTGGCTTCTGTCATGGCTCTCCTCACAGATGTACATTTTCTTATGTATTAAGATTTCCTCTTTCATTTCTGTCTGGTCTGTCCTTGTATATTATACCTGCAGTGAATTCATTGTGCCCGGTCTTTTGCCAGCACTCCAAAAACATTGTCCGTGTTCAAAGATCAAGTTCATCTTGTTTGTGTATAATGCAATAGCCCTGAGATATGTGAAACTATGGATCATTCCCGCTCCACCCATTTTCTTACATTTTTGAAATTATTTTTACATTTACATAACACCACCCTATATTACTATGGATCATTCACTTTTTTGTCCCAAGCATTTCTGTCCTCAGAAATATTGTTTCCCACCTCAAAAAATTCAGTTTAAACCCCGCCAGATCAAGACTACTAGCAAGCATTTTCTTTCTGTCTTCTGAGAAGCTTTTCCTGGAAGTGGGTGATAGGAAGGAAACTGTTATCACTGACCTCTTTTTGAAAAAAAGAAGGTTGTGTTATGTATCCTTGCAACACTAAAGAGAAGCAAATGTGTGCAATTTCCAACAAAGTTTAGCACTGAAACCTTCCTGTGGAGGGGACCACTGACTCCAGTCCTTAGAAAAATGATTTGGCACTTGCAGCAAACCTTTGTGTCCCAGAGTTTGTGTCATCTTCCTCTGTTGAGTGACTTTCCTCCTTCCCCTATATTTGGGCTAAATGGGTGTCCCCTTTCCTTCTCCACCGCCTTAGCAGCAACACTGATAAGAGTTCTTCACTGATAAGAGGCAGGTTTTGCTGCCCTTGCCTCCTGCAAACTCTTCTATGGCTCTGTCAGGGAGGCAGGAAAATTATGAGTTGTGGTGAGAGGGGAAAAAACTTTTCTCTACTGCAAGAACAGTGGAAAGTATGCAGTTTCCAAAGAAATGTGAAGTTCCCAGAGATATTCTCAGAATGGAGAGTAAGTTAGTAAATTACTCATTTTTCCCCTGAGGGAATGAAATTCAAGAATCACATCCTTAGTTTATTATCTAGCTATGCTCAAGTGATATTGAAGGGGGATAGGGCATTTGCCTCTTTGGAAAGAGGCTATATATATTAAAATTCTAGATTTACACTACAATACTTCAAGAAAAAGAGACTCAAAAGAAAAAGAAGGCTGCTGCTTTTGGTTTTGAAAACAAGTGTTGGAGTTGACAGCAGATTTCTATATATGCCAATGATTTGCGACAAATTTATGTTTATAAACTTCTGTATGAGTCTAGCATGTCCTTATTGCCTGCCTTCAAAACCTGTTAAAGAATCCATCTTGACTTGATGAACATTTGAAAATTGATAAATATTTTTGTGGCATTCTCCCACTTTGACACTTCATACCTAGAAAAGTGAGTGTGTGGATAGTACACTTGGCTGCTGAAATAGCACACATAATGTATGTTGCCTGTAAATGTCCTTTAGATTATTTCTTTAAAGTAACCCCTTTTAGTAATTTTAATGGCTAAATAGCTTTTCCTAGAAATTACTGTGATGTTTCAGAGTAATAATCTAAATTTTGTCCCAGTGTCATAGCGTTTTTGCAGACATTTCGCTTCTTCAGTTAGAACAGTGGTTCTCAACCTGTGGGTCTCCAGATGTTTTGGCCTACAAATCCCAGAAATCCCAGCCAGTCTACCAACTGTTAGCAGTTTCTCAAGTCACATGAAAAAAAGAGGATTTCTGGGAGTTGAAGGCCAAAATATCTGGGGACCTATAGGTTGAGAACCATTGTTTTAGAACCATCTATATTCATGTAGGCACAAGGGAGGATAACTTCTAATCAACATAGAACATATCTATCTGTTTTGAGTGTGGACATGAGGAAGGAAGCCCACAGGTGGGACACAAGAGCAATTATTTTCTTTCTCTACATCCAGCTGCTGGTATCCACAGCCAAACTGCTTCTAAACCAGGGGCATAGCTATGGGGTCCATATTTTCAATCCACACATTTCTAGTAGAGAGTAAGACATAGAACATGGTAACATTGCTTAGTTCTTTCTTTCTCTCTTTCTTTTTCTTTTTCTTCTTCTTTTTCTTGGATGTTAGCAATGCCTGGTGTCCCTTATTATAAGGAATGTCCCTGTAGAACAGTGGTTCTCAACCTGTGGGTCCCCAGATGTTTTGGCCTCCAACTCCCAGAAATCTTAACAGCTGGTAAATTGGCTGGGATTTCTGGGAGTTGTAGGCCAAAACACCTGGAGACCCACAGGTTGAGAACCACTGCTGTAGAGAGCAAGAAGGTTTGTCCCTTATAGATCTGACAGTTTGCCTTATTATAAAGAATGCCCCCCCCCCTCTTTTTTCTTTTGTACAGACTGAATGAGTTGCCCAAAATTCTGTATTTTAGAGGGTGGGCTCTTCATGATTATTGAAATGTGTGTTATTATATGATTTAAGAATGTGGACAATAGGTCAATTTTACTGAAATCAATACTTCCATTTTGTATTTAGGTAGGACACAAACTTGGTAATAGCTACTTCGTAATTGTCAACCCTGTATGTTGCTTATTTCAGCTTTTCCTTATTGCTGTTTTGAAAACCTGGAAACACTAATATATGCTTAAGTTCTGTTTCTTACTTCCTCAATTTGCCCAAGAACCTATCACAATTGTATGACTGCACTTTTTAGGGAATATATTGGCTGCAGTTGAGACATCCTTTCCTTCCTTCAACACTACAGTAATGCCAATAGTTTATTCATGAGCTTGGAATGAAAAAAGCAAATGATCTTGGTGGAAGCAGGCAAGCCATCCCAGGCCTATTGATGGTCAGGAAACCGGTTTGAAGTGGGTGTGAGGGAACAACAATGGCAACCTATGATAACTGTGACTAGTGAGAGCGTTTGACATACCCTGCAGTTACATTTCTGGAATTTCTGGCAGTCTTGGTAATAATGTGTTTCATATTATTTTTGTTTGTAGGAAAATCTTGTTATGTGAAGTTTCAAAGGAACTAGCCATAAACTATTCTTCGACAAGAGGTGGTTGTGGAACACTCAGGTAAGACCTTTGATCTGTTTGGCTGTTAATCCATATATTAAATATTTTGTATTCATTCATGTAGTTGGTGTTGACACCCAGCATTAGCAGGAATATGAGTTAGAATAAATGGAGACTGAATTGATGTCTGAATAATATAACTAGCCAGTTTAAAATATTGTGTGCATGGAGTGTTGTTGATTCCTTTTTTTAGGTAGAAAAATGTCTTAGAGTTCAGTGCTCATGTATGCAAAATTCCTAAATAAAGCACTATTTGTATTATTTGTGTTGAATGTAGGAACAAACCATGGTTTTCCATTACATGTAGAGGCTATGATAAGGCTTTTCATTGTGGTTTCAATGGAGAATCTTAAGTTTCTCCATTTCCTCTTTGTCTGCTCCCTCTCATAGGCATGAGAAGTGGAGTTGAAAAGTTTCCATATATGGCTTCCACAAGTTCTGGTTCCTCCATTCTTACGCACATGAAGAGTAGAGATAAATATATATCTACATATAGTTTTTGACACAGCCACATTCTCAAAAGAATGGAGGAGCCAGAAAGTATAGTTCCCAAATATGTGTAATTCATAAACATTTTGAACCTAATGTTTTGCTAGATGTGAACTAGGCCTGTGCAAGATCTCAGTGTTAAGGTCTAGCATGGTGCTACTTTTTCTTTTGAGACTGTTCTCATGTTTGTCTTCTAATTTTGGGCAGATGTACGTGACTGATCTTTTTCGATATGACAGTAATCCTGGCTAGGCAGATGTGCCTAGTCTTGCCAATCTCCAGCTGATGTCATAAGAAAGCCTTTAGGGGTTGCTTTGATTCTCAGGTCCACATGTAACTTGACTTACAAATTAAGGCACACAGTTATTATTTAAGTCAATCAGCATAAAAAGAGCAACCAGGGACACAAAAATCTGACAAATTATTTGTCCAATTTAGCCTAATGTTGTCTATTATGACCGGCAACAGCTTTTCTGAGTCTTGGGCTAACTCTTGTTGCATACTTGCAAATGGGTCCATTTAATTAATTTGAGATGTCAAAGATAGAACCTGAAACCCTCTATATGCAAGGGCCCTTCCAGACAAGCCATATATCTCAGGTTATATGTTTCCAGATTTTCTGCTTTAAACTGGATTATATGAGTCTCCACTGCCAGATAATCTGGGATAAACAGAAAACCTGGGATCAGATCCTGGGATATAAGGCCTGTTTGGAAGGGCCCCAAGTTGTGGTCCTTACTCCATGAAAGTAAACTAGTTCATAAGTTTCAGAATTTTTTCGGGCAGTGCTTTCTGTTGTAGGAAAGAGAAAACATGGATACCTGCTGGAACTTCTGTACAGGCAAATCTTTGTAGTCGGCTAATCTGCAGACCTGGCCTGATAATTCTTCCACTTACAAGTGTGTAGTTTGCCTCCACATTCACCTGCAATCATATAACTTTTCTTGCTACATTTTTTTGTTGCTTGCTCAGTGAATGGTTTATTCTAAAATGCCAGTTTGTATGTACAACTTAAAAATGTAGTGTTACCCTTGTATTACATGGGGTTGCATTTGAAGACTGTTTGGAAGCTTCAAATGGTCCAACGGGCAGCAGCCAGGTTGCTAACAGGAGTGGCGCTCAGGGAACACACTACTCCTCTGTTGCGTCAGCTCCACTGGCTGCCAATTTGCTACCGAGCACAATTCAAAGTGCTGGCTTTAGCCTACAAAGCCCTAAACAATTCTGGCCCAGCTTACCTGTCCGAACGTATCTCCTCCTATGAACCATCTAGGAGCTTAAGATCATCTGAGAAGGCCTTGGTCTCCATCCTGCCTGCCTCGCAAGTGCGATTGGCAGAGACGAAGGACAGGGCCTTCTCAGTGGTGGCCCCCCAGCTATGGAACCCCCTCCCGAGGGACATTAGATTGGCCCCCTCCCTCCTGACTTTCCAAAAAAAGTTTGAGCAAGCTTTTGAGAATGCAGCGGAATAGATAACATGGAACTATGAATGATGAACATGGAATGGCCAGACGATGTTATTGGATAACGTTTTTAATAGGATGACACCGATGATTATATGCTTCAGCGGTTTTTGTATATGTTTTATATTGTAATGTTGATTGTTTTTAATGGCACTTTTATAAATACCTGACACCGAACTGTGCCAATCTGTAACCCGCCTTGAGTCGCTGTATGGCTGAGAAAATAAAATATTTTAGTGAATAAATAAATAAATAAATAAATATTAGTCTGAATGTTTAAAAGGACAGAGTAGAGTGGACTGATGCATTGTCGAAGGCTTTCATGGCCGGAATCATTGGGTTGTTGTAGGTTTTCCGGGCTGTATGGCCTCTAGAACATGGCCACACAGTCCGGAAAACCTACAACAACCCAGAGTGGACTGAATTTGATTTATATCTCTGTGTCCCATATAAGATACAGCAGAGCTAATGTGTACAGCATGGAGTGGGCAAACCTAGGTTCAGATTCTTGCTCAGCCTTTAAGCTTGCCAGATGAGCCTATCTTTGTCATTGTTTCTCAATATAATTTACCTGAAATGGTTACTGTGAGAATAAAAAAGGGGAATTATCAGCTTCTTGGAGTATGGGCGAGATACAAATATATAATTAATCATCATTATCCCTGTATAGGTTGGGCTAGAATGCCTCATTCTATCTCTATAAAATTCCAAATTTTGACATACTATTATTTCTGAATAGGTCCTTTCAGTATACACTGTAATATGCTTTGCCCTTCTTGGCTCATTAATGTATCTCCTTAATAGTCTGAGGTACATTACATTGAGAAAGGTTTGGTCAATTTGTGTATTCTTAAAAACCATTCTGTTCTTCAGGGAATGATTATCTGGCTTTTTTTGAGGCGAAGGGAGTATACTTGGCCATATAAGCCAGTTAATCAAGTTTGTGCAGAGCTCCGACATACAGAGATAAGTCCCATAGCCTCCATTTAGTCATCTTTACTTCTAGTGATAGTTTGGACTAGATTTACTCTTAAGACCCATTTGTATGTCTTTGTAGCAAGCAATGCTATCAATTCTCCTCCGGCTTCGTTATTTTCTTCCTATCATCTTTCTTCATTGCCCAGCTTCCACATTCATTCACAGAAATCAGAAATACTATGGCATGGATGATTTTGATTTGGGTATTTAATTGTATATTGTTACAATTGAGGAGATTATTTAATTCCTTAATAACTGCCCTTCCAAATTACAGTTTCTCCTCCTCCTCCTTTTTATGGTTTTTGACGGAGCCATAGTACAAGGCATTTTGAAGTATTTCAGTGTCTTCACTGCCCACTATATAAATCATCTATGGTCATTTTTTTTTTGTCTTTTAACATTAAGTTGTAACCCTGATTTTGTACTTTCTTTCAAAATTTATACAGAATCTCATTTGGTTCTCCGACAAGGGTGATCTAAATTGGTTAATTCTAACTTACTTATTTACTTAGGTGATCCCTCATAGTCTGAGTAGGATTATCATCCAAGATTGGTGGTCCGTAGGTGACTGTGGAGCCCTATTCTTGACATGCATGTTCTCCTACAGTGAGGGCATTGGTTTCCAGGTGGAAGGCGGTCCCGGTCGGGGTTGGCTTGACACACCTTCCTCTTGGCACGTTTCTCTCTTTCACCCTCCCTTTATGCCTCTTCAAATTCTACAACACTGCTGGTCACAGCTGACCTCCAGCTGGAGCACCCAAGGGCTGGGGCTTCTCAGTTCTCAGTGTCTATGCCAGAATTTTTAAGGTTGGCTTTGAGCCCATCTTTGAATCTCTTTTCCTGTCCTCTAACATTCCATTTTCCATTCTTGAGTTCGGAGTAGAGCAACTGCTTTGGGAGACGGTGGTTGGGCATCCGGACAATGTGGCTGGTCCAATGGAGTTGATGGCGGAGGACCATCGCTTCAGTGCTGGTGGTCTTTGCTTCTTCCAGCATGCTGAAATTTGTCCACTTGTCTTCCCAAGAGATTTGCAGGATTTTTCGGAGGCAACGCTGATGGAATCGTTCTAGGAGTTGCATATGATGTCTGTATATAGTCCACGTCTTGCAGGCGTATAGCAGGGTTGGGAGAACAATAGCTTTATAAACAAGCACCTTGGTATCCCTACAGATGTTAATTCTAACTAAAGTAGATACAGTACATTGTATCAAGTGCTGAATGCTGAGACAGCCATTGGTAAATCCAGCTGATTCAATGGGTCTGTTCTAGCCAGAGCTAATGATGGGATTTAGGCCTTAATCTCCCTGTCCGCCAGACGGTCTCAATCCCATTCCTTCAGATGCACCCACCCACACAACTTATTGCTTCATTTCACCTGCTGCTTATATGGCTCAGGGATATTTTGGTGATGCCTTTCTTTTAACTGTATTGGTACATATTTGCCTTGGCATTATGCATTTCTGTTAGACATGCTGCTGTGTCTTTTTCTTACTTCTTCTCTTTCTGCACCCCAACTGTAATATGTGGACAATAAAGCTGGCTTACCTAACATGGCTGTTCTGAGGATATTAAGAAAATGCACATGAAGTCTTTTCTATAATCCATGGCTGGCATCCTATTAGTCTCTCCGGCACATCCAAGAACATCTTTTGCACACATGAGTCCCTGGTAGGATGTGGCACTGAGAGTTATTGTCTTGCCCTTGTGTTTTGTTCAAAACCCTCCACCAGCCCAGCCATCAACCCCTGGAAGAGGTGTTTCTTTTCCCTTTATACTAGAGGTAATGGTAGGAAGGGAAGGATATTTGGACTCTGAATATCCAGCTGCTGTGATCTCCTACAGGAAGGAAATTTGACAGCTCACCAGCTGTGTCTCCAGGATCTGAATTGCCTCCCTAATGCTCCCTTGTCTACCAGTAAGTGACAAATCTTGGGACTGACAACAGAAGGAAACAGTGGGATCGCACATGTGGAGCTGCATGCACATTAAGGACCTTAGCACGTTTGGAAATACACCATTTCTGAGACTGTTTGAGAATGTTTTTGAACAGGTCCCATCACATGACGTTT